CTTATGATATATATGTATATATACTTAGAAATATATGTGTGTGTATATATAATTATATATGCTTATATGTAAGTGAAATGGATGATACAAGGGATAGGAGAGAATTAATACTATTTTGTTATAACAGGATTTTTAGGGCAATGAAACTATGTATACTATCATGGTAGATACATGTCATTATACATTTGTCCAAACCTATGGAATGCACAACACCAAGACTAAACTGTAATGCAAACTATGACCTTTGGGTGATAACGACGTGTCAGAGTAAGTTCATTAGTTGTAGCCAATGTACCACTCTGACTGGAGATGATGATACCTGGGAAGGCTCTGCTTTTGTGTAGAAAGGGAGTGTATGGAACTCTCCATACTTTCTGCTCTTTGCCATGAACGTAAAACTACTCTGTTGACTACACATTATCAAATACTTATAGAAGTTCCTTTTACTTAGTACACCATGTCTGGCTATCAAGGAAACAGTACAAGGCATACTAAAAGGCAAAGAACACAACTGGAAGAGAGAGAGCAACTATCAGAACCAGATTCATATGTGGCAGGGATGTTGGAATTATCAGATTTTAATTTAAAACAACTATGGTTAATATGCTAAAGGCTCTAATGGCTAGACAACATACAAGAACAGATGGGCAATGTGAACAGAGAAGTCAAATTTTAAGAAAGACCCAAAATGAAATGCTGTGGATCAAAAACACTGTAACAGAAATGAAGCATGCTGTGGGGAAAGCTGGGGTTCTTACACCAGGATCCTCACCGAACCTAAACCACTTGATGATGTAACTGGCTTGTTGCTAGGCTACTGCTTCCACACCCATAGGCAATAAGCTATATTGCACTATATAGAGAGCTGGCCCAGTGCTCTGGGCGGAGGCAGAGATGTTAGTGCTCCACCCAGCACTAGGAGAACAAGCTGGATAATAAACCCTTTCACCCCAAGAACATTTTATTATAATTTCTTTGGTTACACTGAATCCATACTGAACTTGCCCAGGGCTGAAACCCATTGGCAAGACATGTGCCTTTGATGGGCTCACAGTATACTGGACATGACTACAGAAAGAATCTCTTGGCTTGGGGATATCTTAATAGAAATCTCCAAAACTGAAAAGCAAACAGAAAAAAAAAAAAGACTGAAAGCAAAGGCAGAACAGAATATCCAAGAACTGTGGGACAACGACGAAAGATCTAACATACAAATAATGAGAATACCACAAGGAGAAGAAAGAAAGGAACAGAAGAAATATTTGAAACTAATGACTGAGAATTTCTTCTAATAAATGTCAAGACACCAAACCACAGATCCAGGAAGTTCAGTGAACACCAAGCAGGATAAATGCCAAAATAAGAACAAAAATACACCTAGGCACAGCACTGTAAACTACATAAAATGAAAGATAACAAAAAAATCCTGAATGACCCCGAGGGAAAAAATATCTTACCTATAGAGGAACAAAGATAAGAATTACATCTCACTTCTCAGAAAGCCATGCAAACAAGAAGAGAGGAGAGTGAAATATTTAAAGTGTTGAGAAAAAAGAAACACCAAACTGTAATTCTGTACAGTGAGAAATAAACTTTCTTAGACAATAAAAATCAAGAGAATTTGTTACCAGTAGACCTGCCTCATAAGAAATGTTAAAATTAGTTCTTTATAGAGGAATAAAAGGATATCGATGAGAACTCATATCTAAATAATAAAAGAAGAACATTGGAGTAGGAATAAGTTAAGATAAAATAAAAACTTTTATTTTTTCTTAAATGAGCTAACAAATAACAGATCTAATTGATTAAACTTAAACTGTTGGATCTAAACTGATCTAACAGTTTGTTCAAAATAATAGCAATACTTCATTTGACTATATGCTTATTATACATGTATGCATATATATGCTTATGATATATATGCATATATACTTAGAAATATATGTGTGTGTGTATATATAATTATATATGCTTATATGTAAGTGAAATGGATGATACAAGGGACAGGAGAGAATTAATACTATTTTGTTATAACAGGATTTTTAGGGCAATGAAACTATGTATACTATCATGGTAGATACATGTCATTACACATTTGTCCAAACCTATGGAATGCACAACACCAAGACTAAACTGTAATGCAAACTATGACCTTTGGGTGATAACGACGTGTCAGAGTAAGTTCATTAGTTGTAGCCAATGTACCACTCTGACTGGAGATGATACCTGGGAAGGCTCTGCTTTTGTGTAGAAAGGGAGTGTATGGAACTCTCCATACTTTCTGCTCTTTGCCATGAACGTAAAACTACTCTGTTCTTTGAACATAAAACTACTCTAAATAATAAACTCTATTTAAAAAAATTCAAGGCAAATGTGTTGGCTTGTTCTAGATACAGAAAAAAATAATCCCATTGTTATTTCTCTCTGGTAGAAGAGAGGAATGGAAGAGAGGCAGGAGCCAAGAAGGACACCCACAGCTCTCAGGCCAAGGGAAGAAGTATGAAAATGGAGTTGTTTGGGGTGATTTAGTGTCCCCTTAATGACTCATATTTATAAAAGCATAATGAAATAGAAATAGTTTATAGTTCTGATGGTGACTGTGTAAACCAACAATGAATAATATGCTCCATTTTCTAGAGAAATCTTTTAAAAGTGTATTACTTTATTTCTCTCAGTGAACAGTTACAAGTGTCTAATACTTGATCATATTTTCTAATTATCCAAGACCTTTAAAGGATTGGGTTCTTCCTAGCACTTGGGTACTATAAGGCCAAGCACCATGGACAGCCTGTCCCTGTCCTTTAGGAAGTCTGAATCCTGGCCTCCCACCAAACTCATACAAGCTGCTACTTGCTTGTGCACTAAGGCTGCAAACAACCTCTGACACCCAGTCGTTCCTGTCCACTGCTTCTACAGAGTAGCTAATCTGTCTGTAAATGCCATCACCACAAACTCCTGGAATTTTCACACCTGAAATAGATTTTTAGTCTCTCTGTTTCAAAGTCTGAAGCACTAAAAGTTTTGTTACTTTAATTAAGTCTTTAACCTAAAAGTAACTGCCAGATAAATAGTAAGAATGAAATTAAATGCACTTTTATCTTTGTGGATAAAATGAAAGTTCCTGTGGCCAGGATTCTCACCTGGCCCTTGTTGGCTAGCTCACTGCACATGTGTGGGCAATACTTGCTATTTACTCTATATAAGGAGCTCCGCCCAGTACTCTGGGCGATACAGTGGCACGGCTGCAAGGCTGCAGGAGAGCAGAGCAGAGGCTGCAGTGGTGGCAGCACCAAAGACAGAGAGGCCCAAAGGATGGCTGTGTGGGACAGCTGTGCGGGCAGAGAGACCCAGAGGCAGAGACCAGCTTGCTGCATGCAGACTTGCTCTGAGTGAACAGATTTTAGTGATTGACCTGCCACTGTGGAAATAAAGTTGGGTATAACCCTTTCACCCCAAGAATGTTTTACTGTCATTTTCTTTGGTCATATTGAATCCCTATTGAACTTGCCCGGGGCTGAAACCCATTGGCAAGACAATGTTGAATAGTTTAGGTCAAGCTTCTCATGACTCAATAAGTAAAATGAGTTACATTCTAGATGTTTTACAAATATTGACTTCATGTTTCTAGCCACATAAATTGTTGAGCATTGAAATTCAAGGGCCTCTGTTGCTTATTGTGAGGAGTAGTAACCCAGAATTTTCAGCTAAAAATATTGTAATTCAAATTTTTCTTACTGAATTGAATTCAGAGTTTGCATTAAGGGTAAACACTGAGGGAGTAATTCTGATATACTGAGTAGGTGGTTTTGTGCAGGATGCTTGGAATACCACAGCCCTTAGAATAATTGTAAAGTCTTCTGGCCTGTTTCCCAGATTTGCTTGGAAAGGGTCAGAGGACAGGCTGAAATTCATGACATGTGAATGCTGAATCCCAACTAGATGTGTCTTCAAAGGAATAATCGAGCTACACTTAGAAGGGGATTCTGAGAAGAAAATTACACATTGTAGGATAACATGTGAAACAAAGCAACTACAGGAGATTGAAATTGAATGATATTTCAGGAAGTGATTTTTTAAATCTACTTACCTTAAAAATAATACAAATTTATATTTGTATTATTTTAAATCCCTGCCAGAAGGCAGGGATTTTTTGCTTTACAAAATAACAATAACAGGATTAACAGCAGCGGCAAAAACTTAACTGTGTTTACCAAATGTATGTTTTCCATATGTTGCTTGATTTTCCTCATCTGTAACATAGGGATAACATTACTATCAAATCCCTATAACCTTAGGAGGTAGTATAAGTGACTTGTTCAAGGTCGTACAGCTAGGTATTGCCAGAAGGCAGATTAGTATCCAGCAGGGCGCTCGCAAGTCTAAGTTGCACTACAGACGTCATAGGGAGAAGAGGCAAATGCAAATGCTAGCGCTCTGTGTACGTTTACTTTATTGTAAACTCTCCAGTGCCTCTCTTCCTACACCACCCTCAGCCTCTTAATTTGTCACACACAGCGGTTTCCTTACTTTGCTCTTGTTATTCTCCTCCCCTTCTTGCCAGAAGGCTCCAGCGGGCAGAAGATGAAAGGTTGCTGCTCCGTCAGCGCACAGGCCCTGGCGCAGGCATCCTTTCTGCTTAGTGCAGTCGCACATACTCACTGAAAATTCGTTATTAGATACATGGATTAAATCATTTTAAAAGCATTCACTGAGAGCTCAGAGTGTGAATTTTATCAGGAATGCAAATATTAACTTACTTTCTGGGATACGTTTTTAACGTAAAAGCCTAAGAAATTCTCATTCACTTCTGAATAGAAACGCTCATTAGTAGCTCTCACCCCCGCGCCTCATTTCTCAGAACAGGCCTCCAGGGGGCAATGGCGGCCGTGGAGTCGCAACCGGAGGCTGGCGCGGCGGTTCGGCCATCGCTTGCTCTCGCCTGGCGCCCGGATCTCGGCCTTGGATTAGCACAGCTGGGGACGTGGGAGGCCGCGAGCCCCGCCCCCAGCCGGCGGCGGCGGCGGCGGCGGCCCAGCGCGGCAGTCGGCGCTGCTAGCGGCGCGGAGGGCGCGACCGGCGGGCCGGGGTACGGGGCTGCGCGCTGCCTTCGAGGCTCTACTCCGCGCGCCAGGGCGCGGGTAATACCGCGGGTCCCTCGGGCGGGTCCCGGGCTGCAGCGGCGGGAGTCGGGGGCCGCCCGCCGGGGCGCCGCGACCATGGCCCTGCGCGCACGGGCGCTGTATGACTTCAGGTCGGAGAACCCGGGCGAGATCTCGCTGCGGGAGCACGAGGTGCTGAGCCTGTGCAGCGAGCAGGACATCGAGGGCTGGCTCGAGGGCATCAACAGCCGCGGCGACCGTGGCCTTTTCCCGGCCTCGTACGTGCAGGTGATCCGTGCCCCCGAGCCCAGCCCGGCGGGCGACAGCGGCCCGGGCGCCCCCGCCCTCTACGCCAACGTGCCGCCCGGCGGCTTTGAGACCCTGCCCACCCCGCCGCCCGTCTCCTTCAAGCCGTCGCCGGACGCTTTCCAGCCGTTGCTGCAGCCGCAGCAGGCGCCACAGCCGAGCACCTTCCAGCCGCCGGGCGCGGGCTTCCAGTACCGCGGGGGCGCCCTGCAGCCGTCGCCTCAGCAGCTCTACGGAGGCGGCTACCAGGCCAGCCAGGGCAGCGACGATGACTGGGACGACGAGTGGGACGACAGCTCCACCGTAGCTGATGAGCCGGGCGCGCTGGGCAGCGGCGCTTACCCGGACCTCGACGGCTCATCGTCCGGAGGCGTCGGTGCTGCCGGTCGCTACCGCCTGTCCACGCGCTCCGACCTGTCGCTGGGCTCCCGCGGTGGCTCGGCACCCCCGCAGCACCACGCGTCGGGGGCCAAGAGCTCAGCCACCGTGAGTCGCAACCTCAACCGCTTCTCCACCTTCGTGAAGTCCGGCGGGGAGGCCTTCGTGCTTGGGGAGGCGTCGGGCTTCGTGAAGGATGGGGACAAATTGTGTGTGGTGCTGGGGCCCTATGGCCCTGAGTGGCAGGAGAACCCCTACCCCTTCCAGTGCACCATCGACGACCCCACCAAGCAGACGAAGTTCAAAGGCATGAAGAGCTACATCTCCTACAAGCTGGTGCCCACGCATACACAGGTGCCAGTTCACCGACGCTACAAGCACTTCGACTGGCTGTACGCACGCCTGGCAGAGAAGTTTCCCGTCATCTCAGTGCCTCACCTGCCTGAGAAGCAGGCCACGGGCCGCTTCGAGGAGGATTTCATCTCCAAGCGCAGGAAAGGCCTGATCTGGTGGATGAACCACATGGCCAGCCACCCGGTGCTGGCACAGTGTGACGTCTTCCAGCATTTTCTGACGTGCCCCAGCAGCACCGATGAGAAGGCCTGGAAACAGGGCAAGAGGAAGGCTGAGAAGGATGAGATGGTGGGCGCCAACTTCTTCCTGACCCTGAGCACGCCCCCTGCCGCCGCCCTCGACTTGCAGGAGGTGGAGAGCAAGATCGATGGCTTCAAGTGCTTCACGAAGAAGATGGACGACAGCGCGCTGCAGCTCAATCACACCGCCAACGAGTTTGCGCGCAAGCAGGTGACAGGCTTCAAGAAGGAGTATCAGAAAGTGGGCCAGTCCTTCCGCGGCCTCAGCCAGGCCTTTGAGCTGGACCAGCAGGCCTTCTCGGCCGGTCTGAACCAGGCTATTGCCTTCACCGGAGATGCCTATGACGCCATCGGTGAGCTCTTCGCCGAGCAGCCCAGGCAGGACCTGGACCCCATCATGGACCTGTTAGCGCTTTATCAGGGGCACCTGGCCAACTTCCCTGACATCATCCACGTTCAGAAAGGTAAAAAGACCGGCCTGGGCCTTTTGAGCAGATGGTATGAAATGTATTGTTGAGGCTGAAAAGGATGACTTTGATGGAAATACCTTCTTTGTTTCAGACTAGCACTTTACAGGGTGGGAATCGAGCAGGGATGTGGACAGCTGGGTCGTGTGTCCGTGTGTGAGGTGGTTTGTGGGCAGGTGGTTTCCTCCTTAAGGTATTCCCAGACTAGGAGTGAGTACTCTTCAGAGAAGGTTCTGAGAGTATTTTTTCTGACGGTGCCAGCGTTTTAGAATGTGACTAATTGGGTAAGGCGCTTCTGGGACGTGCAGTCGGGTGTCTAAGGTAGAATAAGAAGGGTTCTCAAACCATGTTAGGCATCCATTTGAACACTGCAGTGACACTTAGCATTGGGCTTCAAGGAGATGGAAATAATGGGGAAGAAGGGGTATCTGCAAACAGGTAATTCCCCCTGTCTCCCCCTGCATCTCTCAATGCCACTTTAGGTAGAGGAATTAGGATTAATTCTCTGAGGTGCTAGCTGGGGCAGTTTAAGAACTTCCTGTACAGATTTGCTTGCAATCTTTGTAAAATGATGTAAAGGCTCCCTCTAATTTCAGGAAGTTTTAAAGAAATCAGTTCCTTTAAGCTCCATGATTGATTTTGAAATCTATTAATGCAGTGAAATTAAGAATATTATTTGGGAAAGTAACATAGGGAAATTGCATAGTATGTATAGAATCTGAGTTTTGCGTCAGAGCAGTGTTTCCGGTATCCCAGTGAGTGAAGTGCCGAACTGTCAGAGCTTGTTTTATTAGTATTTGTTAGTGTCCCTAATTTTTGTTAAAACACTAAAATTCGGAGATTATTTTTTTTGAAGACAGAGCTGCAAAGCCAGTCCTAGCATTACTCACTAATTTGCATTCTGATAGAATGTCTGGAGGGAGGATAGGGAGGTGTTTGAGTTAGGTAGTCCTGTGAATGAATGTCTTCTGTTCAGAGTGGGGGAGGGGGGAAAAGAGGGAGCCACCTAACCTAATCCCCTGCGCTGATGGAAACCTCCCTGGGTCCTCAGGTCTGGCCTCCTGGAATGAAGTCCTACTGCCTTTCCAGGTGGGCCAGATCAGTAATGGACAACCCTGATCTTTGACATACTCTTCCTTGCGTTGAATTAAATATGTTTTTCTTGATTCTTTCTATCCCTGGAAGCACAACAAAATAAGTCTATTCCTCATCAACGAGTCAGCCCTTGAGACCTTTGGAGACAGCGGTCTAGCTTCCTTCCCCCTGGCTGCTCTCCTTCCCCTTCCAAGTGTGTGACTAGTCTTCTGACTCACCAAGGAGAAAGGGGGTCCTTCGGACATCTTGAATGTGTTGTCGCCCTTCTAAAATGCAGTACTCTGACATAACTGCAGTATTAATTTTAGTAAAGAATAGTAACTTCCTTGGCAATTTACATTTTATAAATACAGTCTAAGATTGAATTAGNTTTTTTTTTTTTTGCATAAATTAGTATGAATCCTAGACTGGTGCTGGTGGAAGTAATTCTTTGAGCTTCTAATTTAAATTTACATTTAAATTCCATTGTGTTACATCAGTTTGGACTCATGCTGGCTGCCTTTTTACATATTTCTGTGAGTTTATGCAAATTTTTGGTAAATAGTGAAAGGGTAGAGCCAAGGGTAGACACCCACAGCCAAATACAGGTGACTGGCTGCTAGGAGCTGGCATCAGTTCATTCACTGGTTTTACTGTCCTTCATACCACCCACAAGGCCTTGTCAAGTGACCTGCTGTTGAAATTATTTATTAGAAAAGGTATGTTGTTTATTCTAAGGGCTACTTTGACTTTACAGCAGTCCTCTATGTAATCTATTAAACTAGGCAGTTTTTTAATTTTATTTTTAATCTTAAAACTAAAATTGTCCTCTATTGCTTGGGGTTTGAGAAACTTTCTTCATTAAAACTAGTACCATTTTATGCTGTTTAAACAGATTCAAGGACACTAAACACAGTCTGTAGGAACTTCAGAAAGAACACCAGTTGATGTCAATATAGTTTGTTTCTGCTGTAGCATTGGTGTGAAATGTGAAGGGGAGCCTGTGTCCCTAGATGACATGTCTTTAGAACGTAGTGCCATTTAAAGCTGTAGTGTGCAGTGCATTAGGATAAAAGTATTTGCTTGCAACCAGTGTTTATCATGGGTGCTAATGTTGGCAATTTTTAGGAATACAGATGAGATGAATATCATAATCCAGACTACAGCTTTCTGAACACAATCTGGATGTTCAGAACTTGTGGTTGTAAAGAGCAGCTCAACCCCACCCTTCCATCCCTTAACTACACAGTTGTTATTGAAATGAATCTTTTTTAATATGAGCACTTGAGGATTTTGTTTACAGTTTTTTCCTCCAAGGTCTCAAAGCATAATGACATCAAAGGTCTTAATGGACTTTTGAAAGGGGAACCAAAAAAAAAGATAAATAAAAATCTTTTAGCAATTTAAAGAATCTTTTAATGTAAGAGTGGTCTAAAGTTTATATTTAAATTTAGGGAGAAATTTGAAAATTCAAAATAATTATTTCAACTCTTAGGTTCTCATTGTTTACAGTAAGAGAAAAGCAGTTTCAGTACTTCTACATTTTACATGTTCTAATCGGAGATCTACATTCAGATGAGACAAAATGATTAGGAAGTGCATTTTAATTACTAAAGCAGTATAGAAGGGGAGTTAATTAGTTTTTTCCCCTTAATTCTGGAAACGTTAGACTCCTCTGAGCTTTTTTTCTTATGCGGGCAGAAGACTGCTGTGGTCAGCTTTTCCGGTGTTCTAGACCTGTGCTTTCTATGCTGGGTCTGTGAGCCACATGTTGCTATTTAAATTTAAGTGAATAACAGTTAAATACAATTTAAAATGAAGTTCCTCAGTCACACTAGCTATGTTTGAAATGCTTTATAGCTAGCAGCTACCCTACTGGACACAGAGATACAGACATTTCTCTCACTGCTAAAGGTTCAGTTGGATGGTGCTATGCTAGACAGTTGGCCTTACTTTAACTGTTAATCCTGTCATAAGTTTCTCCAACAAATGATGAGCTTTTCACGTATTCTCCAGATAGTGTTCTTTTTACTTGGTTGTCTCATGGCATCTGCTCCTTTTCATAGAGCCTTAAGTAATAAAAACTAGGAGGAGAAGCAGGCCCTGCTCAACCCCCTCTTTACAGATCTTCATAGTTGCTCAACTAGTGAGTAATATTTCTGCCATGTGAGGACCTCCATCTGCTTTGCAGTCTGCCTATATGTCCCATTCAGAAAACACAACTGGTCTCAGAAGGGTCATCTGAGGCTGGTAAGGAACCAGCCTATCAGACAGAGGGTGGAAAACTCAGATACTCTTAAATATGATGGACGGGCATTTTTCTGACTATACTTAGTACTGAAACCATTGCTTAAACTTAATAATGGTTTTGGTCTAAGTACTTCGTGCAAAAGTTAAGAGAACCATATGGTTCCTTTAGACAAGAGAGAATTCTAGAATTCTAATTTTTTTCATCAACTAATGGAGTCTTAGATAAACAGACCTATTTCAGTTAATGGAGTTCAGTGTAAGAAGAAGGCAGTTTGCTGTAGTCTGCAATACTTTCTGTGAGAACTCAGATTCTGTTTGAATTTTATTCATATTTTGCTTTTTCTTAATAAGATCACTTAAATTGGTCTGGATTTTCTTTTCTTGAAATGGTAATGTTTTATCTTCTCCCTTTATCATTCCTGCCTGCAGTATGCCTTTATAATGCTGATGTTGGTGAGTTTGAGGTGGCGAATAGAATATATTTCACAGTCAGTCTCTTAGCACATTGTTCTGTTTCCAAAGGTATGATTAATCTCTAATATTTAATAAGGCTTAATCTGGATGGCAGGAAGTCACAATGGTTTAAAAGCTTTAGGCTTATCTTGGGAAATATTGCAGAAGGGAAAGACTAAATGTTAGCTGAATGGAAATGTTGGTTTCATCTTGGTTTACGAATATGGATTAGATAGCTGGAGGGAGTCACCTAAAGGGAAATTTCTTTATTCCAGAGAAAAGTTATAAAATCATGTAAAAGTGATTTGTTGGTAAAATACAGTCTGTGTGTGTGAAGCAAGGAGGCAGAACTAGGCAAACAGGCGGACAGTCCTGTTCTCTGGGTCTGCTTCATTGCCCTGTGTAAATGCTCCAGATGGAGCCTTCTTTTCAAGACAAAAAGCCCCTGGACCTCAGGAATGGTACACCGTTGGTGCGCCTATGCATCTTTCCGGGTAGAACTTCAACACTGTTCCTCCTTTCACCACGTGTAGGGTCAGTCTCAAGTCCCTCAGACATTAATTAAAGATAGGCGGAGTCCCGGCAGGGCACACAAGGTAAGGTTTAGCCACAGTGAGCCCTTCTTTCTCTGCTCTCCATTCTCCAATGGCTAAAAACAGCCTGGAGAGGTGGTGCCAGGAACAGAGAAAAGGTCTAATAACCAGGCTGTTTACAAGCTCATCCTTATCTTGAAACCTCTGTGCTAGAAAGGGAGGTCATTTATCTCTTTTATTTTAGCCCCATCTTCATTGAACCCATTTCTCCTCTTTCCTACTTCCACCCCCATCTTTTTGTTAGGGAGACTTCAGTTCTAGCCTTAACTCTTGGCTCAATATGTATTTTCTTAGTGAAAAAAAAGTCATCTTTGGGGCTTTTGAAATAGATGACTGGGTTCCTTGCTTAAAGCATCAATGTGACCCTGTCGTGGACAGTCTTGGTCATGAAGCTAGGTAGGGATAGGGCTCATGGCACCCCGTCATTGGCGTCTCAGACTTCTGTTCTGAGCTATGAAGATCTCAAAAATCACACAGGGAAGCCCAGTCTGGTATGCTGATCGCACTGTGAGCAGGGAGGCAGGGATTTGCACTCCCACTCACATTATTCTGGAAACTCTTGGACTCAGTTGGACTTTTCCTCTTTATTCAGAAATGTCATCTGCACAGGTTCCTGTCTAGTCATCT